ATTTAAATACAACGGATTCTTTCTTTTTCGAGTTAAATTAATGCCATGTGACGGAGCTAACTGTGAGGATTGTTTAATCAGTGACATGAGACGACATTTTTCTTTGACCCATAAGAATAAATGCGGTCATTTATTTAACAGAATCAAAATTTAACATCAAAACATGTACACATTGATTTGCTGATCTGGTTCTGATTAATAAAAACTTGGCACGCTTTACTAACAAAACAACAGAACATTTCTGAAGGCATGTAGATTACTGGCAAAATAAAAAGTTTAAAGGAAGGAATGGATAAGTTTAAAAGTAAATGGATGAGGGAAAGATGTGTTTGTTGACCAGAATTAACACGCTTCTTTCAACACCAGCTCAAACCCCTGGTACACTCGATGCGTGACGACTCGTTACCTTTGCAGAAGATAAATCAACTCCGGTACAGAGGTCCATTTCAACGCTACCTTTCTAGCGTCTCCGGTCAGGGTGGCTGGGCATCGTCAGAAGTCGTGTGGTTTACTCCGTTCAACAGAACAAGCTTCCTTCGAAGTTGTAGGGTGTTACGCCCGGGTGAGTTCACAGCAAGGCGCTGTGACTCCGCTGAGATGGACGGACCCTCGTCTCATGGTAAAATCCATCAGCTATTGATTAAATCTGAAAGTTCCTTAGGAACTCTCAGGAACATCAGTCAGACATTAAACTCAGAAGTAGAAGACTCCATAGAAGACTGAGTTAGACTCCAGGAAGACTCAGAAGACTCCAGTCAAAGCCTGACTAGTTCCAGGAAGTGTTGACTTTTAAAGAGTCCTCAGTTCCTATCACTTGGTACTTCCTGATTGGTTGAAACAACCAACAGGGGCGTGTTTCAGTTATGTCAGAGGGTTATTAAAAGTCAAGAGAGGTGTAAGGCTCCTGCACTGCACCCTGCCTTTCTCTCTCCTCATCACTCCTAATTGGCTCCAGCTGCAGATGATCAGCTCAACACCCAGGAGGAGTATAAGAAGATTCAGGAACCACTCTGCAGGCGCTGGGACATTGCCTACCAACGGTAGTTGTGTTCTGGCCAGTATTCAGTGATATTAGTAAATACTAATATTGTATTTTTTCCTCTGCGCTTCCTCAGAGTTTGGATTTTACTGTACCTGCCCTGCTTGAGTTCCACATGAACTGACTCCTCCTGCCTAGCTACAATTGCTGGATGCCTTCCACCACTTGCCTCAATCTACTTGTTGTTTCACCTCGTGCCACTGGACACCATCTGGATAATTCCTTCACCTGCTTCTCACCGTAAGAATAAACCCACAAGAGATATTCTCATTCAACCACAGCCCTTTAAATCATCGCTCTCTCTCCAGGTGTTCCCGTTCCCCTCATTAATGTTGTATATATCACCAACCTGTAAATAAACACTTTAAACTATTATTTGAGTCCTGGTATCTGTTCGGTCCTGATCTTTCATTCTGGGTACACTGCAATCATTACAAGAGGCTGCAGGAACGTTTAGGAACGATTAGTACAGACAGAGAAATGTTATGAAGAAGTGAGAGGAAGCAGGTGCCAGTTGCTTCTTTTTACAGTCTGCTAGGTTTAAAAACAAGACACTTCGTTCTAATAACTCGTTTTCTGACTGTCTCTGACTTTCGACCGACATCACTACTTCTCATTCAGACAGAAGATCAAAATTCATAATTACTTTGTAAATAGACATTTAAAATGATTTCTAAGTCTAATGAGGTTTAAAAATCATTAATACTGTTTCACAGTTGATTTTAAATGAGTGGTTCACTTCAACATTTAGAAATGGTATGAACTAAGCACACTTTGATTATCAAGATATTCTAAAATAGTAATGATAATGGAAAAAAGAAGAGTGTTCTTTCAATTGATTAATGCAGGATACAATTAAACAGTCTCTTGATGAGCTAATTTGTATTTCTGGATTCAAATCAATGAAATAACAGTTCCTGTCCCATGAAGGTCTTCAGAGACAGGTTGAGGTCGGAGGCCTAGTTCACTACACATCAGTTCTTTCAATTGTCTCACTTCTTCAAACAGTCCTGTCAGTAATTCACATTTAGCTGATAATTTAGTCACATCAGCACTCAATTTAGTCAGTTCAGCACTCAAAAAGTTCAAAGATTTTTTAACTTCCTCCATATCTTCTGAATTATTTTCCGACACTTGTCTCTTATCTCTGTTTTTGCTCGGCATTACTCACAATACTTCTGGATTATTGGTCTCAACTCTCAGAAGCACAGGATATAGCCACAAGGTTCACAGGCTTATGTTGTTAGCTTATGATGTTAGCCGAGGCCTAGCGAGGTCTAGCCGAGGCCTAGCGGCAACAACCTCCAAGTCCCACGCGGTCTCACGATTCACTCGGTCCAGCAGTTTGCAGCCCCAATGGTGACAGACCAGGTCCCAGTTGCAACAGCTCCCAGATCCCACAGCTGTAGTCTAGCTTCCTCGGTTTCAGAGGCTCGCAGGTCCAATCGGCAGCGGACCGGGTCTCCTCCGTAAACAGCTCGGTTCCAGCGGCTCGCAGGTCCAATCGACGGTGGACCGGGTCTCCGACGTAAACTGCTCGGTTTCAGAGGCTTGCAGGTCCAATCGGCCATGGACCGGGTCTTTGACGTAAACTGCTCGGTTTCAGCGGCTCGCTGGTCCAAACAGCGGTGGTTCGGGTCTCCGCCGTAAACTGCTCGGTTTCAGCGGCTCGCAGGTTCAAACGGCGGCAGACCGGGTCTCCGCCATAAACAGCTCAGTTTCAGTGGCTCGCAGGTCCAACAGCGGCGGACTGGGTCTCCGCAGGCCTCACTAGCTGAAGCAGCTCTCTGGCCAGCTCGTTAGCCAAACGTTAGCTAAACTCGTGGCTCAGCTTCCACGGTTCAGAGTGACTTCCTTCTTCCACCTGTTCTGTATATATATATCCATATATGTATTATCTA